ACATACAAAATTTCTCCTTCTTTCCCTTCTCTTTTCCTACATCCCAGTTGCCCTTTACCCTTGAGTACTTTCCTATCATTTTACAATGTCTATCATACCTTCTAGTTTAAATTATAGAGATCTTTTGTTTGTTTGTTTGTTTGTTTGTTTTTCCGGTACCAGGGATCGAACTCACGACTTTGCGCTTGCCAGGTAGGCACTGTGCCGCTGAGTTAAATCCCCAGCTCCAGTGCCCCGGCACACTTGAAGGCTGTGTTAAAGCGAATGATTTCCTTGGTCTTTTTAAAATTTTTAATGTATGAGACAAGGTCTCACCACGTTTTCCAGGCTGGTTGTGAACCACTTTGTAGCCCAGGCTGACCTGGAACTTGCTGTGATCCTCCTGCCTCAGCCTCCTGAGTGCTGGGATCACAGCCGTGCGCCACCACCCCCAGCTCGAGTCCTTGGGTCTTTATGAGCCTCAGTTTGTCAGCTGTGGGGGAGGATTCACATGTGTCATGTATGGTCGACTTGAGGGTCAGTGGGGTGCGTGCAGCATGCTTAGTGACACCTGAACCCAGTAATAAATGCAGAGAGTACTGCTCAACCATAAAAAGAAATGCAGTGCGAACATCTCACCAGAACAAATGGACTTCAGGACAGTTTCGCCACCTCGGAGAAGCCAGACCTGGCAGGCTGTGGACGGGAAGATCCCATCGAATAAAGTTCTGGAAAAGGCAGTGAACCCCTGGGAAGGTGGGATCGTGCGCGGCTGTGGGCCCGGGTCGGGGTCAGGGTCGGGGAGCAACTGCGGGGTAGGAGGGAACTTTCTGGGTGGCGGACGCGCTCGTGCCTTGGCCGGGGTGACGGGGGTTTGTATATGCATGCGTCTGGTGAAAACTCGGCCGGCGTTCTCCTTGGCGTAGATTTGCAGGGAGGGAGTGGCAGGAAGACAGATCGAACCTCCTCGTCTTTTTCTACACGCACCTGGGCTCCAGCATCATCACACAGAACCACACGTGGGATCGTGACAGACAGCAGTGTGACGCACCCTCCCGTCCGTAGTTCTGAGACTGTCGTGCCACGCTAGGACATGGGCACCTCTGTGGCACCCGAGCCACTGTGCCAGACCCAGTCTGGCTTGGCACCTACAGAGCAGCATCCGTCTCCTGGTTGGAGGGTGGTGAGGACGCTTGGAGGTCACCCTGTCACAGCCCTGCAAGTCCCCCTTCTCTCCCTGGAAAGAGCTCCCCCGGGGTTAGCTGTTTCCCCAAGAAAGCCTGTCTTGGACCCCCAGGCCTGTAGCACAAGGCCAGGAGGGGAGAGGGTGGAGGGAGGGAAAACAGGAGGAGAGGAGATGAATGCCAGTAAATCACCCTGCCAAGGCATTCCTGAGGCTGAGGCAGGAGGATCGCCAGGAGTTCTAGGCCAACCTGGGCTGCATACTGAGGTCTGGTCCCTCCCACCCTCTGGTCACCCTGCCACAAAGGTCAAGTGTGCTCTAGAAATACTAATGTCACCGGTAGGGGCTGAGGGGAGAGGGGTCTGAGGGCGGAGCAGAGGGGCCGCAGGGGTGGGGGTGAAGAGGAGCAAACAAATAGGCGGGAAGCTGCTGAGGCCCTGATCCTTGACATGAGCAGGCAAGCAGTGTGCAGTGGAGGAGCTGGGCTGGGGAGCTGACGGGGCGGGAGGCAGAGCAGACTTCTTGCTTCTAGGCCGGAGACCCAGGATAAGCGAACAGCAGCGGTGTGCTCCTGGGCGTGGCAGTGCCGTTCTCTGCCTCAGTTTCCTCCTTTGGCAAAGGCAGGGAAAGTCTGTGGAATGAGATCAAGGGGGAGCCAGGGTGGGTGGGGCTGTGGTGTTTGGGTAGGAGTTTAGCACTGACCAGGGGCCACCAGTTAAATACTTGCTCGGAATGCAGCCCATTGATCCGGTAAGCAGCATGCACGGATAAAAATGTGGACAAAATTTAAAATTAAATTTAGAAAGGAAGTGAGCAGAACCACCGTGGATGTTTCTTTCCTCTCCCCTCCCTTTCCCTTCCTTCTTCCCCTCCTTGCTTCCTCCCTTTCTCACAGGCTCCCCTCTCTCCCTCCCTCCCTCCCCCGCCGTGAGCCTGTGGTTTACCTCCCCCAGGAGGATTTGCACCTACGGTGGCCACATGCTGTGGGTACATGGCTTTCTATCCAGCTCCACAAACAGCGGCTGTGCTGTGCTGCGCTCTCTGAGGGCACCTTGTGCTCAGGGGCCGGGGGCGCAAATGCGCAGCGCCAAAGAGCTCTCTGTCTGCCAGGTCTGGCTGCTGCTCACCCAGGGGGCATTGCTGCAGCTCTGGGGTCCTCACCGGAGGGCACAGTGCGCTGGCTGGACCCGGAGGGCTACTGGGCACCATGCGCTGGGTCAGCTTGGAGTTTTGCACCCGTTTCTCCCTCTGTCGTGGGTGTTCCGTGCCCGACTCCACAGGTGGGTCTCTCTCCGGCACACGTTCTGCCCCGTGCCGGGCTTGCAGCTGGGCGGCTGTGGTCCTGTCCGGGGAGTAAAGTGATCAAGCCGGTCCCCTGATGCCACTGTGGCCTGCAGGGGCCCTAACTCAGGGGCCCTAACTCAGCAAAGGGAGTTTAGGTGAAGCTTGTGCCCTCCTTAGGCCAGACCTATTTGGGTGAGACCGCCAGGGCTCCTCTTTCTGTGACCAGTGTCATTCTGGTGGTGGCCATTTGGCTTCACCTGTGAAAGGAACAAAGAACAGTCCCAGCCCGGTGTCATGGTGCACACCGGTAATCCCAGCACTCTGAGAGGCTGAGGCAGGAGGATCCCAAGTCTGAGCCCACTTGGGCATTTTGCAGTTTAATGAGAACCTGTTCCGAAAAAGGAAGTGGGGTGCTGGAGATGTAGCTCAGTGTGAAGGCTCTGGGTTCAACCCTCAGTACCAGGGGCTGGGGGCAGACAGCTCCTCTGCCAACCCACAGAGACACACATGTCAACCCTGGTGGTTGGAGCTGCTGAGGCCAGGACTTATTTGTTACTGCAGCGTAACCCTGCTGTCCTGACTGCACACTGGGGAAATGAAAAGCCTGGCTTTACAGGCGTCTTCTCCTCAATCTCTTCAACATTTAAAGATAAAATCTCTCCTTCCTCCCCTCTCATCCAGTAGCATTGTCCTTTATCTTGGCCGTATTTGCTGGGTAGCACCAGGAAGGGGCTCCCGCAGCTTCTCAGCGGGGCTTTCCCCGCAGTGGGTCCGTGCACAGCTCCATGAGGGGCCAACAGAGGGAACCCTGTCCTTTACCCCCAGTGTGCAGACTTTTACCAGCGGCACTACCACATGCTGGTCACCACGCAGGGCCCTAGAGAGAGACAGAGGAGGAGAGTGTGGCCGTCCAAAGCTCTGCCGCCAGGGTACGGTGGCCCAAGAGGGTACTGGACTCGGTTGTCACAACACAGAGGAGGAAGGAGGCGACTTCCGGGGAGAAACCAGAGACTGCTGGCAGGAGGCAGCAGGTGAGCTGTGGGAGCTGAGTCCTCCTGGTGTGCGGGGCTGGTTCTCCTCTGCCTTGTGGGAACTCGATGGCCTCCAGGTGTGGTCAGCATCCGCGTGACCCCAAGTAACCTCCCCAACCCACAAGGAATTTGACTTCCGACCTTTTCCTGGCCCTGTGACCCCCCAGCCACCTGTGCGTGTCCAGACTGTCACGCTGGGCAGCGTGACTGTCGGGGAGGCGAGAGCCACTTGAGACCGTCTGTCCCTGCTCCCTAAGGCCAGGCAGGAGTCAGGGCAGCTCCGGCACGGCAGGCGGGGCTTCCCCGAGCCCTGCTCGCTGTGACCATTCACCAGCTCTGCCCTGCAAGGAGCCCCTGCCTGCGTGGGGCGGGAGGGCAGGTCGGGGTGCAGCTCCCTTGGGAACATGGATGGTCGGGGGAGAGACTTTTACTAAAACTGGAGCAGCCTGGCTGCCTTTGGGAGGCCAGCCAGCTCTCCGCAAGCGGGCTCGGGTGAACACGGCACAAACTGGCTGTGGAAACTGTGCTGTAATTGCTCGTGCCCTGTAACCCGAGGCGAGGGCGCTGACTCGGTTGATTTCCCTGCCCTGCATGGGGGACTGCGGGTCACCGGGCTGGGGACCGCGCTGCGCCTGTCCAGCCCAGGGCGCCGCGGCCCGGCGCACTCGCGTGGCAGCCGAGAGCAGCTCATCAGATGCAGATCTGGTGTAACAGTCGGGCCGGAGAGGAGCCCTGGGGTCCGATCGGGGCGACCAGCGCGGGCACAAGGCTGCACTCGGGGACCCCGCAGCGCCTGCGCCGCCTCACGGTCGTCCCACAGCCTCGGCGCGGGGAGGCGCCCCGCCGCGCCGCTCAGACCCGGGCCGTGCCGCGCTCAGAGCGGCCGCAGGGTGGGGTGGGGTGGGGTCCGCACCCCGCGCGTGGGTGTCCCCGACCCTGACTTCACCCGGCGCCCAGCTCCGAGGGTCGCCAAAGGGGCACCCGGGGCTTGAAACCGGTCCGGGGTCCCCTGAGGCCCAGCGCGCCCGCCACGCCCCTCTCCCAGCGCCAGCGGGTGGGCCGCACCCGACAGCGCCGTCCTGCCCCCGGGTTTGCCATGGCAACGCCGACGCGCGCTCCCCGCCAC